CTTAATCTTTAAATCAATTTAATTTATTTCAGAATTGATAAAGTAATTTTAAAATTTCATGACAAAAAATTTTGCCATCCAATAATGTAATGAATTTTTTTAATGAATTTTTTCAAGCTAGTCATATCTCAATTCCTCTTGGGATAAAATTTATTTCCAAGGTAGATTTGTATAATTTTTTACTCGTTCTTTAAAAAAAATCTTATGAAAGAAATCTGATCGCAATTTTTAACAAATCACATCTATATTAAATAATCGTGAAGTGGAAAATAATAGATTTGATTTGCTCAATTTTTCAAGGTTTAAGAGTTCTCAAAAGCTTTCATGAAATCAATTTTACAGTTTAAAAGAAAGAGTTAAAATGATAGAGTAAGATCTAAACTTGAAGTTTTGAAAATAATCATTTATCAAAAAGTTTATTTGAGATTTTTATCTAGAGTTAAAAGTATTTGATGCAATTTACATATATATTGCACTTCATACTTTATTAAAACTGAATTTCATTTTAATGGGTCTTGTATTCAAAACAAAGCTTATAATTTATAGTTGTAAACGATTGTAAGTGGAATAAAATATTTATCGCTTTTGCTATTTATGAAGCTTGAGTGAGAAGTATATATTAGCAAAAATTTGGAGTTAATTATAATGAAAAGTTTATATGTATGATGACTTGGACTCGTAAAGATATCAGTTTTGCATGGTTGAATATTGCATTCAATAAATGTTCGCATTAGAATATTTTTTAATAAAAAATGAAATAAAATAAAATATTTGGGAATATGTAATATATTAAGTATAGATAAATTTTGATAGATAAATTTTGACTTCCACATTTTTTTGTGATTCAATTTTATATTTTGAAAACTCACATGTTGATTAATGGGGATTAGGAGAAAAGAATAATTACTCACACGAATGTCAGAAACTTTCTTCCAAGCATTCTTAGGTCGTAGTTACACTATTGAGACCTTATGTATCACTACCATCTAGAATTCTTCCTCCATGGTGAATATCTATATTAATTTATCAGACGAGGAAAGAGGCGTAACGATACCAAACCCACATAGAAGAAATACGCAGAATTCGGAATATGAAAAATATTAGCAGAAATGACAATACATGGGTAACAGAGGCCAACAATTTAGGTTGTATCCAGATCAGACCATAACCATCAGCGACCCATGCCCACCCATTCTATTCGAATTGCAACCATCTATTCAAAAATTGTGTAACGTGCCTACAACAAGTAAAACTTTTAGCTCAAATTGGTTTACACCCTCATCGCTCGAAATTGTTCACACTGGAAGTACGCTGCTGAAACTTCTAGCGGTTGTTGGGGTAACGATAGTTTTTTCTTCAATCAAGAACAGATACTCCTGTAGTTGGATTTAGACATTCACGTCCTGGTTTTGCTTGTAATATTCCAACTCTCACAATGTCCGTCGGATGTGGAGAGCGTTGATGGTCGAGGTTCAAGCTATAGCTGACTGATGTGTCCAGGTCTCAAGTAGTATTGATTGGCATAGTCCGGTACCCATTTGGAAGCTATGACCATCCAAACCCACCATGACGTAATAACCACCCATGGAAAATTAATGTCACCCAAAACCCATGGGCATGGGCATGGGCACCCAATGTTGGGCTCTGGTAGGAAAGTAAATCTGTGATTTATACGTCCGGAGCTGTGGGTGGGAGCATGCACGTCTATCAAATCTATGACACTTTTCTTGTTCGTGATGAAATCCTACCACAAAACGATCAAAGTGGAGTCCAGTGGAAGGCTGAACGCATTGTATTCGAGAAGTGAGTAGGATACAGATTTACAGGAGAATTCATTCACGACTTCGATGATACCTCGCAAATAAAATAGAGTGGCACACTGCAAGCTCTAGATTTTATTCAATATGGACTGCTGCGGGATACACCACGCTCGCATGAACGAACATTTCTTCACCACCGATAATTTCGCGTCCCTAACGTGTATGCAACTATCTATGAAAAGAATATGCAGAGAATTGAATCAAAGATAACTCTTTGGAAGATAAGGCAGAGGAAAGAGAGAGAGGGAGTTCCAATCTCTTGTGTTATTGACTTCAGAATGCAGAGTCTCTAACTCAACAGATCTGCAAACTGGAAAGCGTAGACGTCCGCTTTTTTAGAAACATTAAGGAGCCCTTGTTTGGGTACGATTTTGGACTAATGCTTTGGAATTTTCTCACGAAACAAAGTCAGTTGCAGAAGTAATGAACTAAACTTCAGGCAGGTCCGCTAAGGAGAGATCATGGGGTAAGATGGGGGTATGAGGGAGCCAGCCAATGCAAGATTGGGTGCGAGAGAGGTGATACCTTCCCAGAAATGGGGCTAGAACGAGATATTTAGCTCCATTGCCCACCGGGTGGGGATGCAGCATCACCGATCTCATTCATCCCGGACTGCAGCTGACCAAGTTTACCGCTCTGGGAGCTTCCGAGCTCGACGGTAATGGTGTTGTGGTAAGTTCGGGGGCCTCAGTCAGGCGTTTGTAAAGTGTGGGGGAGGCCATTATGGCCGGGCCGACGATTCACGTGATGGACGGACCTTCTCTGCCAATGGGTACCGTGGAGATTGCGATCACTAGTGCCATGTCATGGTTGTTAAATTATAGTAAGCAAGCTTGTTGGTGCAGCTGCGGAGTGCGCATGCAGCGAGGAGGCTCAAAAGTGGCCCACACAAGGCGCAACTGGTATGGCAAAGGATCAGGGGAGATTCGGGGATCGGCAAGCACCTCATCAGAAAGTTCGGATGGGATGGGCCATTGTATCATTAGGAATCGTGCAGACTGAAACAGTGAATCCCGTGTCAGAAGAAATTCCAGCACGTAGTCAAAACTCGAACATTTTGAGCGAATGACTTGGAAGGTCCACGAAGGAACTGAAGGGTCATGGGACGGGGATCAGACAATGCTCAGAGAGGCTCAGAGGCTCAGAGGCTCGGCGGACTCCATAGCCTGAGGTACATCCCGGTCATCGGTCTCCTGACATGTTGAGCGATATTCTCCGCTTACTGTTATGGCATCGGTACCTGGTTACTGTGGATACCGTGACCGGACTCCGGAGTCGCCCGACCTTTGAGACGTTCCTTTGTCCTGTTATATGTTAGGACGTTCGTAGGCAGTACACTGTGTACACATGTATCAATTCCACGTGGCTTTACATAAAACACTGATAATTTTAGTTGTAAACAAACAGTCTTTATAAAATTATGCATATCACGCAAAAGCACTCACCTTTCGTGTTTTCAAAATAATCTCACCACATCTCGTGCTAAATCTGAACTTGAAGAAATACAAGGCTGGAGAAAAGCAATTGCGTGGATGTTGATGTGGATGTATCATGCAGTCAGGAAACAAAAAAAAATCGAGATGCTAAAAAAAATGCTCATGGATGCCGGGCTCATGGATGGGGGGACAAGTGTTGCTACTCAATGGTGCAGCAGACTCTGTGCACAGGAGCGATGGCACAGCATCGGGCCAGAACATCGGGAGAAGGCCCGAATATGATATGTTTTCGCATCGCAAGCATCAAGTAATAGCATGTCATCTGCCCATTCCTCCACAGTCTGTGCTGAGAATGTTTCCGAACCTGTTATTCATATGTGCTCCATCTCTCCTGTCAGCTCCATACTTCCCTGTCACAGTGCAACGCACACGCCTATCAGACTTGTCCCCTACAGAGGTTGTTATGCTTCCTACCCATCTGATTCCTGTCTGTTGCAACCGCAGGCTCCATCAATGTCTCGTCCACACCACAAACTCTGTTGTCTCCCAGATTCAGAGGTTTCGTGTTCAATCATCTCTTGGTGGACCCTTCGAACCCCCCGCCTGAAGCCATGTCTGTTCTGAATGCTGAAGTCCCCAAACCATGCTACAGTAGCCCTCACTGATAACATTCCCCCTGCACGCTTGACAAGTACATCTGAGAGGGAGAGGCGGCTCTGGCCTCTCGACCATATTATGTGAGAATCAGATGTGCTGCTGCGTTGCCGCCTACAACGAAATAAAATTTAATGCTGCTTCATAAGAGTGTGGCCTGGAAAGGGCTGCACCGGAACACAGAAAGTTCCACCGACTGGTTCGCAGTCAGGTCGGTGGACCAGAGATTTGCTAGATCAGATTGTTCATGAACTCGTCGTCGCTCGGCAGCTCTTAGCACCTATTGGACCTATTCGACCTAGAACTGGTGTGGATCATCATTCCGCCCTGCCACACTGATCATGATTGTAAGCTTGTTTGCTTTCGTAGGCATACTGCCCTAAGCAGAAATCATGACCTGCCTTCGACGCCTTCTTCAGAACAGCGGCTCATAATGCTGCTGTACGTGAATTCGAAAGCTGGATTCCTAAAAGCCTTGCAGATGTGGTGAGGTGGCGGAGCTACCGCTAGGCCTGCCTGCCTGCCTCCCTCCCTGACATCCGAACATGAAACATCCGAATTCCCCAACCTCGGGCATGTTGGAAACGTTCCGAGTAGCGAGGGTCTGCGGTTGAAACCACACTACAAGGCAACGAACATCAGACATTCGGTACGGAGAATTTGAAGTCCGGAAGAGGAAATTACGAGCATTTGCCGAAGGCGAGTCAAGAGAAATAAATTTCAGTCCTCGCCTGGCAGTACGACACTGCAGAATTTGGAGAAATTATGGTTACCTCCAACACGCATGGAGCTCAACACTCTTGCACATCCAAGATTCGATTCGCGATCCCCTTCCCTCAAAATTCTCTGCATTCATCCAACCGAAGGCTCGTGCAGGCTCGGGGCAAAGAATCGCCGAAATCCACGAAACCAAAGCATGCGCACTAGAAATTTCCGCGTTTGACTTCAGTGCTCCCGAACGCGAACGGTATCAAATTTGCAAGCCGCGAACACATTTTTGAAGTTGCCAATCGATGGAAACCGAGCCAGCTGAAACATAATGAACCAATTCGAAGACAACAAGAGAGCGAAGAACAGAGACTCTGAAATTGGGGCATCGAGAGGATTTTATGGATTGAAAGGATCTTTACATTGAAGATCGATGAGAAACGTCTGTTATGTACATCTAAGGCCGGATAAGCTCAAGCTCACCGAGGTGCTCTAAATCTTTACATATGTGACCTATGCTACAAAAAAAATATGGAGTATAGTGTTTCTGAGCTCCCAGGAGAAAGAGAATGAGGCGCCCTTCTTGGAGTCAAAAAATATTCACTTCCCCCTTCTGACTGACAGATTGCGGGAGTGCTGTGTAGGTACTATAATTTTCAAAGTACACCGCCTGATTTTATGACTGGGTTGAGTCATTGTGTGTTCAGTTCCGGAATTCTATAGTACAAATTGCTAAGCTCTAATGTAGAGGAAATGTTATTCTGTCTACTGTGCGAATGGCTGCAGTTATTGCGATTGGGCATTCCCCCAATTTGGTGAAAAATGGCGCAGGCGATAATCTACAAGATGTATTCCACACCCACGGCAGCATGCGCCGTGGTCGTTATTGCGTGATGGCGCCCGAGGCTCCGGCGCATCGTCACTCCAGGGACTGCTTGGCCAGATCGGCCTCGCTCACGAAGGTCCCGTGGAATCCGTAGGGGACTCTGGAGGGCAATTTCACGGTGGCCAGCAGGTCCAGCGATGGCGAGCTGGCGTCCAGCACCAGAAGCTCGGATCGACCGGTTTTCTCGTTGTGCTTGAAAGTCAGCACGTAGCCGTCGTCCTCCGGCGCATTGGGGTCGGAGGTGCGCGGCACGAACACCGGCTCGGCCCCGTAGCAGCCGTCCTCGTAGAGGTGCTTGGTCACGCGAACGCCTTCCTCTGCCTGCAGATCGACGCGCGCAATGCCCGAAATCTTGGGCCAGGGCTCGGCGATCGCCAGGTACAAGAATCTGTTCTGCTGGCCGACGTACGAGCGATTGAGCTGGCCTGCCTCCAGATTGGTCTCGGCCAGAACTCTGCGCGTCGATTTGCCCGTCGTGGTGTTGAGGCGAATTTCCGAGAGCAGGCTGCGCAGCGGCTGATCAGACTCGTTGAAGATGGAATCGGCCGGCGTCATGCACGAGCCCAGAACCACCACCTCGTCGCCCTCCTCCCACGCATTCCACAGGTGAAAGCAGAAGCAGTCCGGCACCTCAATCCATTGAATTCGGCTCTCATCATTGTCGTACTTGGGCAGCAGGCCGTACCGCGCCATCTTCTCGGGGTTGTAGATGACTGGGGATCCGCCCTTGAGCATTTCTGTCATTCGGAACACCACCTGCTGGTCCGGGATCACCACGAAGCGCTTGGTGATGGCGAAATCGTGCATCATCGTCGCCTCCGGCAGCGTGATGGCCACTTCGGGCGCCTTCTTCCCGTCCGGGCCGACCCGGAAGCAGTAGAGATGCGGCGGCATGAGCGGATTGTAGCTCAGCGCGAACATTTCTCCCGTGGCCGGGTCGATCTTCGGGTGCGCAATCATCGATTTGTGATGCTGGCCGTCGAAGTCGAACTTTCTCACGGTCTCCAGATCGCCGTCCTCCTTAATGCGCACCAGGTACGGCTGATCGTCCTCCGACATGGCGAGCAGGCGCCCATTGTGGTAGATGAGTCCTGCATTTGCGACGCCCATCCCTTGGGACGAGTCGACGATTCCGGCCAAGCTGCGTGCAAAGTATAAGGCTAGACGAGCCACCCCGCCGTGGCCGTGTAACTCCCCGATGGCTTTCGGGAAGAGCGGATGCCCCTCTTCTTCCTCGACGCGCAGGCGGTACGTTTTCGTGAAGCGCGAGCAGTGACTCACAATCCCGTCTTTGAACCGCACTGCATGAATCATGCCATCCCCGTCGAAAAAATGGTGGCCGCCCTCGGGTTGGAACCGCGGATTCGCGCCATTCCTCATATATACGCCCTGCAGATTCGCCGGCAGTTTGCCCACCACTTCGAGCTCGTGCTGAACGGGGCTTTCCTCCACGGGCGAAAAATTGCCCTCCAGTTGCACGCGAGGATCCGCGGTGGAAGGAAGAGGCACTTGCGACTCGATGTGCCGCACGACCGTGCGCTCAATGTGGTCCAGGGCGGAGGCGGCCATCTGCTGGAAGAAATTCCGACGCTTGCCCGATTTCTGAGGCGCAGCCCTGTCCGGAGCCGGGAACTCGGCCCTCTGGATTCTGGACGGAGACGCCTCTGTTACGTGCGTGTCTACGGGAGGGGGAGGCAGGCTGGAAGTGCTCTGGCATTTGACGCTCATGGAATTCTTCCTGCCACCTCTGTGCTGCGCGGCGGAAGCTTTGAGCGAGATCTGTTGCGACAGGTTCCCATGACCGCCGGCTAATGCAGTGCTTTGATTGGTGATGCTTGCAAGCGACGCTGCAGAAGCACTCTTAAGACCCAACATTTTGGACCGAACTCCTCGAACAAGCTTTCAGCGCGGTCGTTCCGAGGACGACGAATACTACTAAGCGGAGATTTTTCGGAGGAACTCACTCGCGGAGCCTGCTAATAACTCGATTCCCGCCGAATCCCGCCGACAGATCTCTTGGTAACCATCCCTTGGCTCGAATCGCTAAATGGCGCAGGAACACATCACAATGGTTCTGTCTTTGGAGATTGAACGAGATTTTGTGATTTATCTCAGAGTCTGATTAGATTACTCTCTGACTTGGGAAAGGCAAGTGCGGCCACGGACGAAGTGGCAGACGCGGCTCGAGCGGAGGAATTTGACAGGCGTTGAGGATTCTGAGGCTAAAGCTGGACAATGGAGGAGGACAGAGGAATTCAGGTCAGGAGGAGAAGGGGAGGCGAATTCGACAGAGCGAACGAACAGAATGAGAAGAGGGAGGGGATGAGTGGAGTCAGAGACACGAGTATATAGAGGAGGCTAGACGGCTCCAATGCAGGTAGTCCAGGACGCGAGCAGCTTGGCGCACAAGTCCGCACGACGAGAAGCTAAGGCTCGAAACTGGTAGTTTGAGACGACGAGGATATCAGGTGGAGCTCGTAGAACAACACTGGCTGGCAGTCGCAATTGCTCTCGATGAGGAGAAAGAGGCGGACACATTGCCTAATATAGTCTGCGGAAAGGCCACGCGGCCTCATCCCCGGAGCCTAGAACCCCACTGCGCCTAACCTCCTAGAGTTAGTCTCGACCGGGCCCGGGGACACGGACCGTCGGAGTCGGTCGGACCCTACCCCTGCTCCGGCTCAGTCCGGCCCCGGGACGAGGGGGATACCGGATCTGGGACTCTGAGGCCATTCCTCCGGGAAGCATGGGCAGGGGCAGGGGCAGCAGTTGCTGGTCAGGCCTGCAGGAGCATCTGCAGCCCGGACGTCCGTCTGTCGCCGCAATGCGAACTCGGCCGTGTTCCATGTCCTTGCGAGCGCTTCGCATCTGGAGCACCACAGTCTGCGCAGTAGCAGCAGTAGCAGCAGTAGGGGGTGCTCGGGCATTTGCCCAGATGCCTTATCTTCCAGACAAGTGCACCGTGAACCGGGTTGGTGTCTGAAGTTCACCGTGAGGTCAGCGAGGTTGACCGGTGAATGCCTGTTTTCCCAACTGACTGCGTGATGCGCGTGTTGGAGCAAAGGCGGCGGGCATTGTGGAATTGCTCTGATAACGTGGCGCAAGATGATTATGGACAGGGTAAAACTGGGTATATGCTCCTTTTTTCGATCGTGGAGATTAACGGTCGATTGACTACACTCTGCGCTACGTCCAAACGCGCGAGCGCGAGCCATCTCTCCCGGTCCCCGGCCTATTTCCTCCAACCACCGTTTCGACCTCCCGGCATGGTGATTGCCGATGTTCCGCCAACGCTCCCCCGCTCCCCCGATTTACCGCCGCACCACGCAGTCAGGCGCGTACTGTGGTTGTTCTGATGCCATGCGACCGAATGGACGTTTCAGGAAGGGGGCTCGTTGGGGGCGTGGCTCGCTGGTTTGGCAAGCGCCTCTGTTGCACTACAGTGCTGCCATGAAAAGAAAACTGCATCGTCCACATAGACTTGGATAAGAAAAACTTACTCTTGATTGACGGGGAGAAAACGAGTGATGAGGGTTGGAGATTCTTCAATATTTGCAACAGCGCTTTCCAAGATTTTGCTTTTGTTGCGAGCATCTGAGAGAAAAATGCTGTTCCCTTCGTGTCGATGAACAAGGAATTCATGAGAGAACCAAAGAACAGCACCCAAAAGGTGTACCTCGAAAGTGGGACACAAATTTTGGGAAGACACGTGAATGGAAGAGGTTATTGACGTGATTGGAAGAAATTATTGTGGGCGCTCAAATTGTTGGTGGAGGAACTTGTCACTGAGAATCTCTAACCCCAAGGCTACCAATGCTACTCGTCGGATTGTACCCATCTTGAGTAAACAATCATCAGGACCATTTTGGCAACAGTAATGCTGTTAACTTCTCTTCACTTAGCCTAAATCTATATCCTCCTTATCTTACTATATCCTTTGCGGGAAAAAACATTTATCTCAAGACTCCCATCCTTCCGATATGCTGCAACGAGATGAAACATTGGCACCTAATGAACCGTGTTTTTGGCATTGTGTGCTAAATTCTCTTCACCTAGCCTCGTGTTATATAATATATTCATTTCATGGTAGGTGTTTGCCCTATGACTATGATACGATGTACCTCAATTGAAAGTTATTGCACAAGAAAACATAGAACCTACTCTCTATCGTAGAACGAGAACAACATCTGTTCTTTGCTGTAAATCTTATTGTATTCTTCCACAAAATCCTTGTCATGTGGCCTTTTATAATCTCTGGTATCTTCTCACTACTTTTCAAATTCCATGATATGTAGTACGCATGATATATCACTTTGCATACATTTGCATGGAAAGTTCATTCGAAGATCTAAGTTCTAGACGTCATACGGTCAACATAGAGCATGTAATCATTACAAATCATCGTCAAAGCTCCAACTTATGAATCTAAAATTGGTATGTTGTTATGATATATGTCGTACAGTTAGGCTCAAGGTCAGATACATATTATAACTACTTTAGATGTAAATACAAAACATGAAAGAAACGTATGTTTATTAGTAGGAGAGCACTCATCGCAACTTGATCATTGTATAACTTCGTGGACTTCAGGTTCATTACTATTGAGGTAGTCACATTCACATTGATATGAACCAGACTAATCTGACTAAGGGGAGCCTAAGAATGGTTCATACTTAACTTGAACTTGCTAGTTTCAGACCTTGTTCCCTTGACAGGTCTGATTCCTGGCAGAAGAAATTGAAGGGATGCATGCATTCTCTTCTGCGACTTTAATACTCTTTCAACCAAATATCTGATATATAACATTGACATTCGAGCAGAAATGGGCAATGGACATCATTAGCTACAGTGATGGACTTACATGTTCGACAGATGGTGGATTTGAAGGAACATTCTTCATGGAAAGTAAGCACATGCACAAAGAATACTGGGGCATGTGTAAGACAGATTCAACCAAAAAATATAGAAAATTTTCTTATTGTACATATTCTTCTAAGTGAGAGCACACAAAAAAATTCTAATAAAACTAATCTGAAGAAACTATTTACGTTGATGATAAAGGTAAGCAGAGAAATTTTTAACTATAAAATCGGTTATACTGACATCCACTCCTAAGACATATATCGTAGTGTGGTATATATGCAAAAGTCAAGCGATCTGACTTTGTTCTATCATCGCAAAATCAAGGATTGTGTCTTCTTCACTGACACATGCATGAGAGAATCTTGCATGTGTTAGCATCTACCAAGATCTGCTGACCTAAAATAATGCCAACTTCCTAGTATTTCTTGCATTCAAAAGAGTTTCGATGATGGAAGTGGTCTCAATCGTCATGGATGGTCATGCTTCATGTGGAGAGAGCCCAAAGGAAGAGACCTGAGTGGATAGTGTACTGTTCCTCTATATAAGAGCGTAGAAACACCAAACCCCTTGGAATACAGGATGTAACGTTTAACATATATCACTGTAGACCATTGACACGTGTGGGACTGGCTTTTGATCTTACTGGACTCAGATGGATGGAACAATCACATACCAGTCAAATTCAGATGAATGAGATTCCTCACATATTGGTCGAAATTCATATCTTTCAATCTTTCTTCATATGGTAGAATTCAAGTGGTGTCTCTTTTCTCGTGGAATATACATGGCGACCAGAATAAAATGATGATATGTCTTGGGTTTGAGAGACAATGTACCTACAGTGTAGGTATTTTCTGAGGAAGACGATCACCAATATCGAGGATTATTGACCGGTCGTGACTCTATTGCCTTCGAAACAAGCGACGTGGATGTAACTCCAGGTACACCACAAGAAACATCCATCAAAGGTCTCTTAGATTCGTATCTTTAAACATGGGATAATACTCTTATTTCTAACCAGGCCGATCTTCGTCTTAACACCCAAGCGAGAATGTGATCCATTATCTCCTGTCCTGTTATCTCAGATTCTCAAGTTGGGTCAATATCCAATTTGGATGATTTCTTTGTCATTTAACACAAAAATTTTCTCATGTCATTCATACCATGTCAATTTTACAATATATAGTCTTGTATAACTCTAAGATAGTTGTACCAGAATGATATGTTTAGACCTTTAATTTTGATGTTGGATCAATTTTTCCTGGCCTTTGAAAAGCATTTCAATATAATGATTCTCAAATTATGTTTGTCATGTGAACAAGAATGTGATTTGAAGATCAATACTTCTACCTTCAACCTTTCATGTGAAACTAAAGTCCATTGTACTGCAGAAATATTGCAAGTTTTATGGAAATCATGAGAAAGAATCAGATCTAATGGGTTGATGGATTTAGAATAAGACTAGTCACAAGTCTCTAGCACAAGTCATGGAATCAGACTTCTTACAGGTTCCAAACACAAAATAAAACACTAATTTGACATGTACATCATTACTTGTTGCGGCTGTGACACTAATGACAATATGTCTGACAAAATCCACATAGCTTGCAGTATGAAGAATACCATGCTTCTTTCAGCATCATTTTCAGATTCAAAATACATGTTATAGACCTGAATGGACATGTTCTGACAACAATGACTCTCCTTTCTTACAGGACGAAAGAGTCACCCAGAATTCCACAACATCATTTTCAGTCTAAAACAACATGATATAGACTTAAGGGGATACATTTATTATGACAATTCTCTCCTTCCTTACGGTATAACAATCACCCTGATTCTTCCAACATTATTTCAGCTTCAAAAACGTTACATAGACCTGAGTGGATTGATATGTCCTGACAATTAATTATATTTTCCTCCTTACCATATGATGAATCAAACTGTTTCCTTCAACATAAATAGAAAAATGCCTGAAATAGACCTGGGTGGACATGGTCTCCGTTATAACTTTAGCATCATTTTCAGTTTCAAGTAAGATGATAGAGACCTCATTGTGACGCTTTTAATCTCAGAGTGGCATAGACCCGGGTGGATAAAATCCGAAGTGTACTTCTGTATTGTCTTCATTTTTAAACAGAATTTCAAGTTTTTAAGTTGATATGAATATCATGATTATTCAAGATCACACTATCACCTTTGAAAAATGTGAGAAAGCCCTGATTTGATGTAACTGCCACGAAATCCTTCAACATCATTGTTTCATATTTCAAAATATAAGATAAAATTATTTGTGGATACTTGTAATCAAATTTCAGGGAGTATGATGACGACCTGAGTGCATATGCTCAGTCACGGGTCATTTGAACAACTTGCAAAAATGCATAAACTAAGGCTATAAGAATAAATATTTAGGATTATAACACTTAGGCTTTACACATAGAAACTTGCTCATCTTATATAACAACTGAATATAGAAGGTGGTGTAGAAATGTACCAGAATCAAGTTTGATGTTTTTATACATAATTATAACTGCCTATTATGATATGAGGTAGATCAAAGATCTTAGCACTGATCATTTTGCTAACTCACATTAAAATACTCTCTATGATTAATTATTCACATTATTTAAGTTAAAGTTGTGGAGCTTAT